ATTTTTTTTTCTTGAGACAGAGTCTCACTCTGTTTGTGCCAAGCTATAGTGAGGCCGTGGCATCCACGCCCTCGCGTCACCCAGCAAACCTCAGACTCCTGGTCAAGCATCCTCCCTGCCTCAGCCTCCAGAGGTACGCTGGGACTACAGGCCATCCGCGCCACCATGCCTGGCTAATTTTTTCTATTATATACCTCCAGCTTGTCCAATTACTCCTTCTTTCTATTCTATCAGTAAGGACGGGGTCTCGCCTCTTGCTCACGCTGGTTGCAAACTCGCTGACCTTGAGCGATCCTCCCGCCTCCCTTCCAGGAGTGCTGGGATCCAGGCTGAACCACAGCGCCCCCTGTGCCCGGCATTTTATATGCATAGACTTATGTCATCATCAAACTAAATTTTGTTCATTGCATTTTATTTGGTTATCTGGAAAATTCACACGTGAGGAATAGCTACGGCCAGCAAAAATAAATAATAATCTTTTTGCTATTATTAGCAAAAAAAAAAATATTATGCAACAACATAGATGGAATTGGAGAACATTATTTTAAGTGAAATAAATCGAGCACAGAAAGACAAATCTCGCATGTTCTCACTCAAATGTAGGAGCTAACTCTTAGAAACAATTGATCTCATGGAAACACAGAGTATAATGAGGGTTACCAGAGGCTGGGAAGGGTAGTGGGGAGAGAGGATAAAGTAGTTAATAAAGGTTAATGGGTGCAAAAATATAGTCAATTAGACAGAATGAATAATACTTGATAGCACAACAAAGTAACTATAATACATAAGTTAGAATATACCTTAAAATAACTAAAAGAGTGGAATTGGAATGTACCTAACACAAAGAAATGATAAATTCCTGGGGTGATGGATACCCCAATTACCCTGATTTGATTAATACACACCGTATGCCTGTATCAAAACATCACACGTACCCTGTAAAGATATACAGCTATTATGCACCCATAATAATTAAAAATAAAGATATTTATCTACAGTAGATAGCAAACACTTCTTGCATTGGTAGTTTTAAATGCCTTTAAACATAAATTGCATATGCATAAATAAATCTCACAATCCTAACGATTTTACAGTTCTGCAAAATCTCTAAGTCTAA